CTGACTCAGCCCTGAATGAGGCAGGGACCTGTTGAAAAAGTACATAATGAGTACGCAAAAGGGGGCAAAATTAAAGGTTACACAGGCAACCTTTATTCTGGCATTTCCAAACTTTCACGTTTGACGTTGCAGCTATAGCATTCTCTTAAAGTAGTTCTGAATGAAGTATCAGTTTTAATGATGTGTCCATCTATTGGTAGGCATCATTCTGATATTGTTTAAATATATACCTCTTGTTGACTGGTATTCTCATGCAAGCAAAATGATGGCTCTCATGAGACAAATTCAACCACTGAGTAAGCTGTTGCAACTCCTTATGATTTCAATGGGACATTTCAGTGGCTTATCTCAATGAGCACGTTTTCAAATAAACATGTCTCCATCCTTTCCTGTAGGCATCACCTTCACGGCTGAGATAGTTCACTCTGTCTGCTATCTGAGACTCTTAACAAGGGTGCCAAGAGGGATGTGGACCTGCATTCGTGGAATCGGATTGAGGTCAGCAATGCCTTTCGCATAGCTCATGAACATACATAAAAGGACAATTACTCTGAGTCACCACTAACAAAGCTTTTTAATATAAATTGTGTTCTTTTACAGTATGCAGGTTAGCAAACATACCACAGGATGTCAGCATTAGGAATGTGCTCCAACCAGAATCGGCAATCTCCTAGGCTGCTTTCTTTATAAAGAATTTCTTTTCCCATCGTCATTTGTGTCTACAGACAAATTTCAATTCCTTAATCTCCTGTTCATTAACCTTTTTCTCTGTCCTTCCTGTGTCAGGCTAGTTAAAGGCTGTAAAAGTTGGTTGGTAGTTGCTTTCTAACTCTAACAGTAGCTCCCAAATATAAAAGAATAGCTTTGGGTCTATAAAACATCAAAGCCACCACAAAAATTCACCAAATCACTTCTGAGATCAATGATCAGTTTTCAGGTAGTGATAACTACCTCTCTGATCATACACAAAAAGCAATTAAGATTAAACGAACTGGCACCAACTTATAAAGAAGTTGTCAACAGGACTCCAGAATTTTTTGCATTTGTGAAAAAGCACTCGGCCACCTCCTCTCAGTTTTAGGGTATGTCATAGTTATTTTACATCAGTCACATGGGGCCTTTTAAACTGTAATGTGCTTTTGTGGAATACAACAGCTGTTTGAGACCAGAAGGTTTTTTAAAAGTTTTGACTCGTTAAAGCAGTGAGACAGGAGATGGTGAGGATCTGCTGGAAACCGTCTTCTTGCATTGAAATAATTCCATGAAATAACACTGATTTACTAGTTTCCTGTTGGGGGAACATTTTCATGAAGATACTGCAAAGCCAAGTCTGTCCATTTCATTTCTTGTTCTTTTACGGACTCTGTTGTACCACCATTGTCTTGTTCTGGTTCAGGAAGTTCGTTCTGAGAACACAAAAGGGGCAATGCATTCTATACCTTCAAAGCACCCTGACAAGATCAGCTTAGCATCATTTCATACTGGTACATGCACACATCTGCAACTAAGGCTGAAGGGAGCATCAGAAGAGCATGTACTGTACATACTGCTTCCACTAAAAATATCAACAAATCCAAATATGGGCATTCCATTTCCACAAGAATTCTGTACTTCGTTTTAGGAGTTGATTTCCTAACTTGACGGCTGGCTGACCCAAGCGTACACAGCAAAATAAATGATTGTAATGTCTGGTAAACATAGAATAAGTAGATATCAACGCAAATAGTTTATTGCCTGTGTGCAACCTTTTTCTCCCATAATAAAGTCCAAATATGTAAGTATTCTATGTCCGAATTTTAAATAAGGCATTCTCTCAAATCTCTCTTTTCTGTCATACAGAAGGTAACAAAGAGCAAAATAAGCAGCACTCTGTCTGGAATTTGAGGTCAATGGCTCTAAAGAGGCGAGGCTGTGCTAGTGCCACACAGAACACTGGAAAGCACTCCCGAGGTGCTTTTGCCTTAGGAACAGAAAACTGATGAGTCTACAGCTTGTCAGGATGAGCAATAGCGTAACTGTTTTGTTTTTCTCTTAACCATCTTTCTCTGCGAGTGCTATCATAACTGTGCAGTTGCTAGACAATGCGTAATTCCCCAGAATATCATCTTGTTCCTGGGTCTTGGCATCCTAGCGAGAGACAAAAGAGCTCCCCAAACTCTAGGAATTTGTTCACGGAGGATCTGATCTAAAGCTTGCTGAAGCCAATGGGAGTTTTTTCATTGTTTTCAATGGGCTTCAGCTCAGACTCTGAAGGCAGTAGCAGCAGTTAGGGCTCAAGCTACTGGTGGTCACCTACTGCCCATTGCTCTAAGCACCACCCACTTTTTAGTCAGCTCCTTCTTGACTTGGGAATGAAGGAATATCCCAAAGCTGCCATTCTGGTTTTTAGCTTGCCAACAGCCAATTCTATGTCAATGGCTCAGATCTCATGGGGTCTTTAGGTCCACACTCAGGCCTTTTCTACTGTTAGTATGAGCATCCACAGGGCAAGCCCAGGAAACCTCAGAAGTATGCTGTAAGGAACTCTTCCTCCACTCTGGGCATGCGCCTCAGTCTCCAAGAGTAGTTACATAGTTCCTCCCTCCACCCACTACCCAAAAAGGAGTGACGCTATCTAGTTAATTGACCATAAGATGAAACAAGTACCAGCACTGAAGTGGTTTCTGTATTCAGCCAGCTTAACGAGGCACATCCCAATAAACTCCAACAGGTAGGAGAGTTTGGGCTTCCAGAACTTAAAAAGAGAACCACAGTTCCGCACGGTGGAGATCGGATCATTCCCTAACGCTGGAGTACACCTGCAGAAGCTAAGTGAAGATAGTGAGTTGCTATGCATATGTCTGTGATAAGAGACTAATTCCCTTCAAGTAATCTTCTCACAAACTTTGTCTAATGTAAGAATAAAGAGAGGCTTGAAGGTTTTGAGTATGCAAACGTGGGAGGGAAGAAATCTAGCAGGATGAGTGGCCTACAATTTGGAAGTCCATCACTACTCTAAGAAGGGATCTTTGCAAAAGGTGATGCAGGTACAAAAGCCTGAAGTACATACACTCCGTGAGCAAAAATCATGGCTGGCTGAGAAGTGTCTCAACATGAAAGGCAGCCTGTCAAAATAGAGTGGACGAGGAAGGGCTTTATCCAGTTAATTAAGGAGAAAATCTCAAGATTTATCAGGCTTAAATGAGACGTTTCCGTTAATAACAAGGCTGTATCTATGCCTAGAGACAAGGGGCTGTGAAGATCCGGGTGTGCTATCAAGTAATCTGTGACAGATCAAAGATAGTTGCTAAGTGGACCTAGGAGTTTTCCCTTCTTCACTCTTGGCTAGCAGTACTGGAAGTATACAAGTGAAGGGGAAGTCTTTGGGTCCTCCCCTCTCCACTCGGGCCAGCAGCATAGCACTTGAAAAAGCTGAGGAAGAGGTTAGTCCTGGAACCCGCTCCTCACAGACTGGTGGTACTAGGAGTATGAGGGGAGGATAGAAAGAAACATTCCACCCTCCAAAGAAACAGGTAGCTCGCCTAGATTATGGGAAAGCATTTTCTCCTTCCAATGCGAGGCAGTCAGCTGCAGGGAGAGAAGCACTTATTCCTCCACCAAGCCGGAGATATGCAGAGCTGGAAGAAATCCACCACCCCGCATAAAATAAATGGGAAGCTGGCCCCTGGAGTGAGGGAGCATCATTCATACAACTGTCAGAACTGTAAGGCACATTTCCTATGCCATGCCTCTGTTAGGAGGTTAAAGGGGGTAGACACATAATATAGGCTTATAAGCAGCTTACTGTGTTCACCTACCAAAGGTATTGCTACATCCTCGTATGGTAATTTATCTTCTCTCCATGCATCATCGATCAAATCCAGGATTCTTCCATCCCTCTGCACTTCACTGTCCATCTTTGCACAATTTACATGCAGATAGATCTGCGACATAAAGCAGAAATTATCCTTGATATCTAGAACCCAAAAAGATGGAGCTTAGATTCTATGCTTGCCCTGGCCATGACTCCTTTCTTAAATAGCTTAATGGCTGTTTTACAGTCAGTAGGGCATGGCACAGTTGTTTTTCATAGTTATTAATACCCTCCATTGTTTGTATTGCCCTATGAGACGCATGAACATGTTTCTTTTCCTACCAATTCAGTTTTTGTCCATGCAACAAACTAGCACATGTACGTGGCTTTGCTCAGGTTCCTAAGGTGTTCAGGGCAGGGAACTGGGAAAGTGGGGTGGGCAAGAGTCAGAGTGGGAGGGTAGGGAGGGGATCTGGCCAGGGGACTGTGGTGTGTGTGTGTAGCGGGGTAAGCAAAGAGGCTGAAGCTCCTTGAGTTTCGTACCAGGGCCACTTGCTCTTCCTCTTCTTGTCCCTGCCAGAGAACGAGAGCAAAGTGCACAGCTCGTCTGCCCCGTCCTCCCCAGCCAGAGGGAGGAATGCAGCACACTGTGCACTTTCCCCGTGCTCCCCAAAGGGAGCCAGCAATGTCCTCGTATTAATCTGGCGGAAGATGCGCCTCCCCTTGCCCTCCCTAACAGGTGTCTGCGGGGTAGGGCTGGGACCTGCCTGGTGATTCTGTCTCTTCTCAGTACGGTGGTATGAGAGTCAATCCCATTCCAGGCGCATCCCATTGTACAGGCACAACCAACCCTCACCTTGGCTTTAGGTAATGAGAAGAGGAAGCTGAATATCGAATTTGATGGTCCTACCTGTTACCATTTAACAGGAGTTCTTGAACAAACACACAGACACGTACACAGGCAAACTCTCTCAGGATATGTCTACACTTGCAGCCTAATTCGAACTAGGGCTGCAAATGTAGGCATTCGGAATTGCAAATCAAGCCCGGGATTTAAATACCCTGCTCTTGATTTGCATGTTCCTGGCCGGGTGCCATTTTTTGAAATTTACAAGCCCGGACTAACTGCCCACAATTGCAGGAGGGATAACAGGTAGTTTGAAATAGGGCTTTATTTCGAATGCCCGTTTCTCTGCCTCATATAGATGTGGGCAGTTAGTCCAGGCGTATAAATTTAAAAAATGGTGCACAGCCGGGAACATGCAAATCAAGTGCGGGATATTTAAATCCTGGGCTTGATTTGCAATTCCAAATGTCTACATTTGCAGCCCTAGTTCAAATTAGGCTGCAAGTGTAGACATACCTCATACACACACACACCTTAACAATTCTAAAGTCACATAGCATCTGTTCAATTTATACAGAGAATAACAATGCTTCTTACAATGACACTATTGAAAACTGGAGGCCAGCTTTAATACTGAGGTATAAGCAGGGCCAGATTAAGAAAGAAGTTTGAGAGGCCACAACCTAGGACCCTAAGTTAAAGAAGGCCCTGCAAAAAGATTTCTGGGTCACCAGAAGTACAGACCTTTTTATGGGGTTGTGTAAGCATGGAGCCCTTGATATTTAGGGTTCATAGAGCTGATCTGGACTCATTTCATTTGGAAGCTCCAATCTATCCCATCTGAGATCTCGGCCTCCTTTTTCCCTTCTCTTCATGGCTCCATTCTGGGGCTTCCCTAGTAGAAGGCATCCTAGCATGGATTGGATGAGCCGGGGGTTGGCCGCCGTGTCTGACTGTCCCTGGGTGACCAGGGGACTGTAGCCTTTTGTCTGTCTGTGAGCCTGTGACTGTTCCTGTGGGGCTGGGTCAGACTGTACCCTGCTGTGAGGCTCTCGCCCTTTCTGTGTGGCGAGGTGACTGTAGCCAGGGGTTGGCCGCTGTGTCTGACTGTGCCTGGCAGACAAGGGGCTGTCGCCTGCTGCCCGCCTGTGCGGTGCTGTTTATAGAATCATAGAATACTAGGACTGGAAGGGACCTCGAGAGGTCGAGTCCAGTCCCCCGCCCTCATGGCAGGACCAAGCTCTGTCTAGACCATCCCTGATATTATTGCTGTCTGTCTGTCTGTCTGTCTGGTGAGGTGACTGTAGATGGGGGTCTGACTGTGGCTGGCCTTGTCTGACTGTTCCTGGGTGACGAGAGGACTGTAGCCTTTTGTCCGTCTGTGAGCCCGTGACAGTTCCTGTGGGGCTGAGTCACACTGGGTCAATGTCTGACTTTACCTGGCTGTGAGTCTCTGTGTGATGAGGTGACTGTAGCCTGGAGTCTGGCTGTGGCTGTTCATGCAAGGCTCTGTGCCCCCACCCCACTGGGGCTGTATCTTCACTGCAGGGATGTGGGGAAGGCACAAGTTTTAACACCTTAGGACTGGAATTTGCACCTTTATCACAAAACGTGTTGATGAGTAAGTCTATAAACTGTGCTTTGGGTGCCCTTGTCACCCTGGAACTGCAGGTATTTCTATGGGCCCCAAATTATGAACAAAAACTGAATTGGTAGGAAAAGAATGTTGTGTTCAGACTATGGACAAACCCCCCAAGAACCTGGGAAGTTCCCTTACTGGTAGAGACACCTTTTCAGTCCATCTTCCATCTAGTCTGGTCTCTGACAGTGCCTGATACCAGATGCAAAACTCCATAGTGCACTAAGTTGTGCAACAGTAGCACTTAAGTCATTTTCAGCACTGGTTCAGGAAGGCTCAGTGCAGGCAGTGTTTCAGAGTAACAGTTCAATATCCCAGTAGTATCTGGGACTTTTAAAGACTTACTTTCTGCCTTGGTTTGACTTAAAAGTTGAGCTTGGTTTTGTTAATTTTGGATACTAGGGGGCTGAGCATTCTCAGTGGAGAGGCTGTGGGTTCCTCCATGCTTGGCCCAGTTAGCTGACTTTAGGGGTACGGATGTTAGATAGTGATTAATTGATTAGTCGTGTAACTGCATCAAATTTTAGTAGTTACACAACTATTTGATTGTCCCCGGGGGCAGGGTCAGCAGCCAGTGTGCTCCGGCCCCACTCACGGGGCGCCCTCCTGCTGCCCCACGCTGTTCCTTCTCTATCAGAGGCAGCAGCATGGGGTGGCAGGCGGGAGCTGGTCTGTGAGGGGAGCCGATTTAAAAATTGGCTCTTGATGCAGATCAGCTCCCACCTGTTGCCTTGCGCTGCTGCCTTTGATACAGCAGAGGTTTATCGGTTAATCATGTATTCGGCTACATGTTGACATCCCTATTTCAGGGCACATTTCAGAACCTGCTTTAATAATTGCCATTGTAAGGTCTGATGTCTTGCACTTCGGGAGATCTAGAAATGAAGTCTATTTTATGGCCTTGGAAAGTTGGGAGACACCCTCCCTCTTTTCAGTGGTAAAACTTTCAAAGGAGGAATGCAGAAGTGCCTATCGAGTAGTTGATGGAAATTCCGTCGACTACTCAACTAGTAAATTAATCATTATTTAACATCCTTAGTGTACACGGACACATTCCATTATTCTGAATATCATCCTGTGTACTCAAGCCTAAAATTCACTTCAGCGATGCTTCTTGCACTTACAGTTGGGGTTATACTTAAGCATTTTATTGAATGCTTAATATCTGACGCTGCTTTAGCAGCTGTCGTCTTGTATTGTTAAAGCATTAATTTTTAGCTTTATGCCTTCTGCAAGCTTGGAAGTGCACTCTGTAGTTTTGTAAAATGTCTGCTACTAGAACCATATCAAGTGTCAGAAAAGAAAAAAACAAGCAATATGATACAGTGATGTAATTATAAGGTCCAGTAGCTCGTTACCTTTCAAAGCTAGAAACACCTGTGGCAGGTCAATACAAATGCTTTCAGCATCAATACACTTTTCTAAGCACAAATCCAGGACCACTTCAGGAGATGGGGGGTAGAGGAGGGAAAGATGCTTGAAGGCTCTTTTCTATCTGTCATTGAAAAACTAGGGCTGCGTCTAGACTGGCATGATTTTGCGGAAATACTTTTAACAGAAAAGTTTTTCTGATAAAAGTATTTCCGCAAAAGTGCGTCTAGATTGGCACGGATGCTTTTGCGCATGTCAGTCTAGACGCGATTTTGTGCAAGTAAGCCCCGATCGCCATTTTAGCCATCGGGGCTTTTTTGCGTAAAACAGTTCTTCCCTGTCTACACTGGCCGTCTTGCACAAGTATTTTTGCGCAAGAGGGCTTTTTCCCGAGCGGGAGCGTGAAAGTATTTGCGCAAGAAACACTGATTTTGTACATTACAAAGTCAGTGCTCTTGCGCAAATTCAAGCGGCCAGTGTAGACATCTGGCAAGTTTTTGCGCAAAAGCAATTGTTTTTGCGCAAAATCTTGCCAGTCTAGACGCACCCTAGTTGTGTTGTTAGGAACTTCTTACTTATGGGGTCTGAAGAGTTGGCATTTTCTGTTTTGTTTGTAAGAATTGTGTATTTTCCATTGATGTCAAAGAGAAAAAGTAATGGATTTTGCAAGCTGATGCAAGTGACGAATGAAAGGGAGGCCACCTGACATATTTTGAACCAACAGCAACCTTGATGGCTACTGGTTGTAAGTCAGGGCCTCAGGTGTGACTTCAGAATCTCCGATTTATTTCAGGGGTAGTTTTCTGCTCTGTGTTATACTGGAGGTCAGAGTAGGTGGAATTGATGAAACCACTCTTCTGTGGAATTGCTCTCCAGACTTTAAGTTGTCACTTAAAAAATTGGTTTGAGCCTGTATGATCTGAGCTCTGGTATTTTGAGGAGCTGGGTGTAGGGGAGTCTGCAGCTTAGAGTGTAAGGTAGGAGGATGGATGTGGATTGCGAGTGATTAATAATGAGAAGTGAGGGAGTGGGGCAGAGCTTGGCTATAGCAGATGTTTGCCTGGGCGTGTGTTAATGAAGCTGGAGGAGCAGTGACTTGAGGCTTTGATATGGGGAGAAAACTGATGTACTAGTAAGCTCTCTAGTAATGCTTGTAAGTTGGTTTCTCTCTTCACTTCAAAGCCTCAAGGGGGTGCGCTAGGGCTGGAGTTCTCGCTATTTTCTTTTTGAGGCTCTCCCAATATGCTAGAAAAACTCGGTGGGGCCCTCTTATGCCACAATAACTGTGGGGTTTTTAAAACTTAAACAACAAATAGTCTGGTAGCACCTTAAAGACTAACAAAATATGTAGATGGTATCATGAGCTTTCATGGGCACAACCCACTTCTTCAGATGACAGGAGTTTTAGAAGTCCAGATCCAAGAATAAATAGGAGAAGGGGGAAGAGGGGAGAAAAGGAGGGGAGGGGGGAAAAAAGAGAGAGACAGTGAGTAGATGGTTCAAATAGTTACAAGAGACTGATAAGAACAATTAGCACCTCCATTGTTTAGTTGGTTAAGTCATTAGGATGTGGAAGATAGTGTGCAAGCCAACCTGTTCAGACTATTTGCATAAGAATTAAACTTGTGAATGAAGTTAAGTTCCAGCCCTTCCCTGTGTATTTGGCTTGTGGAATTGGCCTGAAACAAAAGGATGACTTGGAGATCCATTAATGAATGTCCAGGCAGATTAAAGTGTTCTCCAGCAGGTTTTTGTGTATTGCCTTTTCGGATATCTGATTTGTGTCCATTAATTCTTTCCCATGGAGACTGTCCAGTTTGGCCAGTATACATTGCAGTGGGGCATTGCTGGCATAGATTACATTAGTGGATATACAGTTAAATGAGCCTCCATTTTGGTGGCTGATGTGGTTGGGTCAGGTGATGAAATTGCTAGTGTAGAGTTGGCACCCGGGCTGATTGCAGGGGTGGGTTCCT